TTTATTTATTTATTTATTTTTCTGTCCGCAATACAGAAGCACTTGTAAGGAGGCATGGGATGGGGGCTGTGTGGGGGGAGCTGAAGATATTACTTTGTGTTTACTATGCATAGTTCCAACAAAGGGACCCCCTCAGATCATAAACTCTTGGGGCTAGAATTATCTATCTGCAATACAAATGTGCAAAAGCACTGAGAACCAGTATGGTGTAGTGGTTCTATAGAATGCAGAACTGGATTCAGAGAATCTGGGTTCTAGTCTTGCTCACTCATAGGACTCACTGGGTGACTTTAGGCCAGTTACAGGCTCTCAGTCCACTCACAGGGTTGTTGTTGTGAGGATAAGAGTGAGAGGAAGAAAAGAACTATGTAGGTTCCTTGGAAGGAAAAAAGTGGGATATAAATAATATAAATATAGCCATGGAGATGCCTTATCTGGATATACAAGACAGCAGGGCAGTCCAAGCAAGAAGGATATGTAGGCTTGGACCAAGGATTTTACGTTCCATGGAAGATCTTCTCTACAACAGATTTCAGAGGGGGGCTAGATTCAGTGACAGTTCAGGAGTGTTCAGGAGTTTTGAGAGACCTCAGGAGTGCAAAAAAAGACAACTTTGGCATACTCAGGATGGGTAAGTCAAAGAATCTACTCATTTAACAACCCAGATTTAGGCTGGACATCAGGAAAAGCTTCCTTACTGTCAGAGCAATACAACAGTGGAACCAGCTGCCTAGAGAGGCAGTGGGCTCTCCCACACTAGAGACATTCAAAAAGAAACTGGACAGCCATCTGAGTGGGATGGTGTGAACTGGTGTCCTGCAACAGCAGGGGGTTGGACTCGATGGCCTTCATGGCCCCCTCCAACTCTACTATTCTATGATTCTAACTCTTGGGCATGAGCAGGCAGGCATCTTTTATAAGTTCCCGATTTCTTAATTTCCTTGTGATGTATGATGAATCATGATAAAAACCAGACTCTATTAGAGCAATAAAATAAAGGTTGCTAGAACCAGAGGGAACTTTAACCTGCTGATTTACATTAAAGAGTTTCCAAAACTGGATGCCATTTCCACCAAGAGTTTAGATTGGCCAATTTTCAGGTTCTCTTGGGGCTGCTTGATGAAGGCAGATACTTAGGTTTTCTAGAATTCCAGTTGTTTTTCCCAGTCACATAATGGCAGCTCCTATTGATAGTGTCAGAGGAGGAGACACACAGATAATGAACTTCAGTTATAATACAGTGTGGCAGCTGTTGTGCTATTGTGAGTGCCCGTTTTCAGGATAATGTCCTTTGAACCGTTCACCCTTTCCTTCTGTTTGACTCTTCATCACTGCCTGTTGAACACCCACTGGCTGCAACCACTTTCTATGCTTTCCTTCTCCCTCCTGCCACTGTTCCCACTGGGTGTATCATCCAGGTGATGATTCTTAGCATGTTATGAACCTTTTCCCACACTGCCTGGCATCTCTAGTCCAAGCAGTGGCTTTTGATGCTCAGCCTGAACCCTCTGTTTGCAGGGAAGCCTCTCTTCTCTCCCACCCCCTTTTATTCCCATCTTGGCTAAAAGGCAGGTGATACGTATTCATGCCTCTTCCTCTGCTCCTGGCTCCACTTCACACAGAGAGTGGGAGCTGTGCATTACCTCTTCTGCCATGCCTCACCTCCCTGTATCTCCAGCCATTCTCCCATCAACCTGCATCCCACTTGCGTTCCAAGTCCGAAAAACATATTTCCCACCTCTTCCCTTCCTCAGAACTTTCCTCACTCCTGCAGGCACAGTTTAGCCTTGACTCCGTTTTCCGTGCCCTCTGCTTCCTACCCAACAACCTCTTTGCCTCTTCCTTCACATGACAGTCTTGTCAAGGTCTTCAGCTGTAATCTCCTTTCTCTCGATTGAAAGCATACTTGAAAGGAAAATACTTTTCTTTTCCTATTTTGAAAAAGCATACTTTTCATATTTTGAAAGAAAAATAAAGACTTTGTTTGGTATTCCGATAGTAAAAAGTACACAGCAGCCTCAAATTAAAGCATTTCTTTGACTCATTTGAATGCTGCTGTAATTGCTTTACTGCTTCGGAATTGTGCTCATCTTTCTCTTTGCTACATTAAAGACCACATGCTTTGCTGGTGACCTTCTAAAGGAATGTTCCTTTAGGAGAATATAACAGTGCTGCAGTTTTCCTGCTTGAGAACTACTGAAATATTATTCTCTATGAGTTATAGTCTCCATAATTACTCAAGTACTACTCCTTATAGGGGGAAAGAGCCTAGAAAGCAAAGCAAGCAGCCACATGTGTGCAGCTAGTGGGCATCAAGAACGGGGACCAGATTATTGGAAAGATTGCTTCTTTTGCTGCTGGAGTCATATGACTTTGTAGGGTTCATGGACCACCAGTGATAAAAAGGGCTGTCCCTTGTTCAGACATCACAACAAACAATCCCGGTAGGGACAAACTCTTGCGCCTTATGGTGGTTGATGAAAATAGTAAGCTACCATGGTCAGTCACCACAGGCAAACAGCAATTAATGGTTGCTTGTTGCATCATGCAAACCCACTTGCTGTATTGGGTTGGCTGCTGTGAATTTGGGTATTGCTTTGTGTCCATCATGCAATGACCAGTTTTTTAATCTGTTCCCTGAAAATTTGCTCAGAAGTGGATACTTTCTCAGAGGTGATGAAAGTTTGGGGCAGAGAAAAGAGGGAATTTCCTTTCAAATGTGATTTCCAATTGTACTTTTCATATATTTTAACATTGACAAGTTATTACTATCATAATTATCATGATCAACAGCAGCTGCAAGGAGTCCAGGGTGTTACACTTGAAGGTTGTCCCACTCACAACAACCTGGAGAGGTGCACTGGGGGAGAAAAGGGGCATTAGGTTGGTCTACTGAGATCCAGCAAGTATTATGTTGTGAGCCACCCCAAGGCTTCTGCGAATGGGGCGGCATAGAAGCTTTCTAAATAAATAAATAAATTATGGATGAGCAAAGGTTGAGATCAAAAACTTGCACAACAGCACCGCATGTGTAACTTTCTCTGTCTCTCAGCATACAAATTCATGTTCTCTATTATAGGACCCATGTGTGCATTACATAATGATGCAAAACATGAGCTCCACAGA